GAGCTGTTAATTGATTTAGCGATGATTATACAATTTACCCCGTAACTATTTTTTTATTTTTATTGTGCGTCATATTTAAATGACTATAACTCTAAAAGCACATGTCCAACTGTGTTGGGAATGTAAACATTCTATAGTTGAGATATCTACCAATAAAATCAGTCTATGTAAATAATGTAGCTTATGTAATTGATATAATAATTTAAATAATTAATATTATTTTTAATTTAATATAATATTAATTTTAATAATGTTATTGACTATGCATTATTTTATACTAGTAGCCTGTGTTGTTATTAATAAAATGACAATATATCATCATAATGTTCCACGTTTTTTCGTGGGTGATTATATATAGTTATGTAGTCTAAAATGTGAACAATCTCAATAATATGACAATCACGAAATCTAGGGATAGATTGTACCCAAAAGAGCGCACATATTACTATTACGTGGATCTATGTTAAAACAGAATATATGCAACTTTTAAACACACGTGAATGGAAGCGAACTTGTTTTGCACCCAGACCAAAATCACCTCCGTAATGACTATGATGTGCTTAATCGGAAATAGAGTGGCCACATACACCAACTGTTCTATATGTACGACAGATTAATGATATGCTCAAATATGCATCTTTCGTCGCGCCCTCTCCCAAACCCAACCAACCTGCTATATCTAAATTCGCGATATATAATAGTGCATTTTTGCTACATAAGCCATATTTATATAGTTTTACAATACATCGGACGGACCGTCTTCTATGGGGTTTTACCTGCATGCAGAACACTGTTTAACATATATTTTAATAGATACGTTGTTCGTAATTATTCATCGGTTTGATATCAACTACAAGTATATTAAATGAAGGACAACAATTAACTACTATCATTTTTCATATATTATATTTATCGTTTCTAGCAAACATTCATCTATTCTTTGATGTCTAAAATTGTCACTCTGGATTTCCACTTGATTATCTTCAGTTCAATAATGTACAAACAGTTCGTTACGGCATTCTCATGAGAGTGAAATCACATTGATAAGATGCATATTACACCTCATGCCCAACATCGTCACGCTGATTAGTCAGAATGGGCTACGCGAGAATCAGGATAACTGTATAACCAGCCCGACTGCCCACTGGAGGCGTGAAACGTTAATGCTTTTGTAAGCGCCCCCAGCGTTGGAACTAATGGAGCCAGACATAGCGCGGATAGCGGCACCAGCTGCCTGGCAATTTAAAGCGACTTCCCGACACCAACCATATTCCTAAATACAGGTTGTTTCATTGACACGCAGATCACGTCTGTGTTGAATAGCGCCACCTGTGCTGACACAATGCACGTTGTTTGTATCTCATCCCCATTTATGTGAGTAATCGCAGTCGCTATCCTCGGGGGGGGGGGGGGACATCCGGGCATTTTCTACCGCCTGGCAACCCTCGCGTTGAAAACAAAGACCAACAACTCGCAGAAAACGGTACTTTGCGATGGTTGTTGAGAGTCCCCTGAACAGTGTAACAAGATTTGCCCTACGTGTGTAACATATATGAATTTGGTTGTTCAGGATTACTTCAAAGTTGAGTTTGTGTTGTTTTCTCGAGTTTTCACCGGCTCCACAGCAGCGCGCAAAAAGCCCATAGAAATACGTGGTACAGTGGTGCGCGTCTTAGCAACGTAGAACGTCCGTGACGTAGCTCCGCCCCGGAGGATATGGAGGTATTGTTGAATTATAATGGATAATTCTGAATAAAACAAAGTCAAGCATCTGCTTCCATAACACCTAATTTGAAACGTGCCTTACTTCAAGGAGAAAATTAATTGCACGAGTTTCATATTTTTTCTAGGGTCAATGCCCAGCTTTGTGTATAGGAAATGAGTCCGGATGTATAGACAAACTGACAGTAGAGGCAAATCTACTAGGACATAACTATAATGGAGAGGGGTGACTAATATTCAAAATAACATTTAGCATCCATACAAATACATTGGGCAAACTCCATATTAATATTTGTGTAGTTTTTGCGATCTCCAATTCAACCCAAGTGTGTCATATAAAATCTCCATATAAATATTTGTGTGGGGTTTAGGATTCTTATATTCAACAAAAGTGCAATCAAATGTGTGTGTGCTTTAATAGTTGTGTTAAGTGAATGTATGGGGTTTACCATCGCCATATAAAGTACATACTTTTATTCATATGAAGATGTAAACCACACTTTTATTATGCAGAGATAAGGTAAACTCCATACTTTTACGTCTTGTTGTTCTTGCGTTTTTAACTTTTCCTACACTTTGTAACTTTAGCTGACTGCTTTGGAAAATAGAGAATTGTGGATATAACCAAATCTGACAGAGGTCCACTCAAGCTACCCACATACTATTTATCAAAGTAACTTGGCAGGTAGTTTTCAAGAAGTCAAAAATATCATTTTTTTTTACCTCAAATGACAAAAATATTTGCCAAAATAGAGAATTGAAGATATTGACACGAAATGAACAAATCTGACAGAGGTCCACTCAGGTACCTACATACGAAGTATCAAAGTAATTGAGCAAGTAGTTTTCAAGAAGAAATCTAAAATGCAATTGTTTACGGACGGATGGACAACGGAAGATCATCTATACAAATGGCTCCACTCTGTCATCTATGACAGTGAAGCTAAAAGGCGGCCGAGGGTATCATTTGTATCACTTCCTCATAGGGAGAAATCTGTACAAGATAAAACCAGAATATGTTTGCTCTTCTCAAATATAAAGTATGACCTGAAATAACTGTATTTCTGAAGAATCCATGTACAAAGTACTTTATCTGTCACATCTTATACTTTAAGCACAACCCGGGGAAAATTTGCTTCTGGGGAAAGGAATTATGCCCCAATTAAGATATGCGCGAGTACAAGGTGGGCAACACATTTAAGAGTCTGTGTAATGATCAAATGATGAATGTTCATGATCTAGTCCAAAAACCGACGACCAACATCAAATTCCTGGTAGATCAAGAAGCCAAGTGCACATTTGGATTAAGCCAGAACTCGTCTTGATAAAGTCAACACTGTCGTAGGGAGTTTATATACGACAGAACATGCTTCCAGAATAAAGACCTGAATTAGAATCAGAAACTAGGCATTTAGAACATACAGAGTGCTTCTTGGCTACAACAAAGATTAGGTTGATTTTTGTTTTACATTGTTTTAACTTTTATATAGATCACGCGACATTACGGGTGAGCTGAGTTCACACAATTCATGACATGCTGCCAACTATTTGGTTGACTTTTGGGCTATGTGGCATTTACAGATAGATCATGAATATTCATTAGTTGATCAACATGCAATTCTAGTATCAGATCCAGCTGCCATAACACGAGAATACAAATCATACAACACCCTAACAATGCAGTTCACTTTTTGCATTATCCTTTACAAAATGAGCAGCTTTGGAGAGGACCGATTACATGTCACATTTAAACATTATTTTTAGTTTTCTCTTATTTGTGGGAAATAATTACAAGTTGACCTATGTTTATGATTGTAAAGATGCAGTCAGTGTGTATTGCTTTGTATACACCAAGAATTGAAGTAACCATGAAACAAACACACTGCTTCACTTACCTATAAAATCATCCTTCAGATTATTAAGTCATTTGTGATAAAAATTAACCAAAATGCTTAAATTCTGATAGTATTTATTTATGTACACTTGTAAACACAGAACAATTGATGCATTTAACTACTAGCACAATTTTAATGTTGTTAAGCCAACTCCGTGACAGTACAGAGAACAAATCAAGGTGCACATAAAAAACGATTACACTGTAAACATGAGGAAAAGATACACTTATGCAATACCTGCTATTACATTAGAACCGGGAATGAAAAATCAATCTGCCTCATTTTGGATAAATTCGGGTCAATAAATATTGTAGCTACCGCTGAAGCTATTTTTTCGCTTGCAGCTTATTTTGCTTGGCTTGCTTCACACAAAAGAACATTGGATACCAAAAAAAAAATACTTGCAGTTAATTGTCAACATTTGTGACAAGTGGGAAAAGAAAAACAGCAAATATTTTTCAGCAAAAACTGGACTTTGTATAAATTTACAAGAAGCAGAGAACCAATTTTGTAACAAAAAAATATAACACATAAAAAAAAAATATCTTTTTTAAAGCTTTTTTTGTATATCCTATCAAAATGGCACAATAAACACAAAGTTCAAAACAAAAATAAATCACTTTCTTATATCAATATACCTTTATACAAATTCCTTTTCAACAGTTTGTTTTTTCTGACTAACAACATTTTAAAGGTAGAAAATGTATATACAAGCAACTAAACTTTGAAGAAAGCACTTTAACAGATTACATCATCACAGCCATCAAACGAGGTACAAGGGAAAAAACAACGACTTTGATCATCACATTTATAATCAGAAAATAACATCAAAGAGTGCCATAAAAAATAAAAAAAAAAAAGAAGAAGAAGAAAGCAATACCATGAAAAATCACAGGAATATATTAAATTACAAGAAATGTACACAAAGACAAAAGCTCATCTTACTCGATGAAACAGACTTGGTTCTGTAAATGCAAATATTTCATTTTGGGTGGTTCCCATCTTTCTTCATCAAAGCAATATTTATCGCTGGATTCACTTGGATCAAGCAATAACTTATCAAAGCACCAAGTAAAGTTGATTTTTTTTTTTATGTGTGATGTTTCACTTAAAACTCACATAAATCACAAGACCTTATTAGAAAGTTTTTAAAAAAAACGTCGTACAATTTTGCCTGTAAGGCTAAAAGTTACAAAAAAATTAAACACAAATTTCAAGAAAAAGGATTTGTTCTAGGATGGGTTTTGCTTTTCAATGATTTGGATGCTTCTTAATATTTTCAAAAGAAGTACCTGATGACTCGGATGTACAGTTCAACTAATACTGAAGACGAGCCACCCAGTTTATTGGTGGCATTCAATATCTTCAACGGAAAGAACATTTTTACCATGGTGTATCATTGGAGGCATTTGTGGCAGTGGTTGGCGCAGTACATCGGTTCCGAACCATTTTGTCAAGTTGACAGGCGACTGGGATCTTTGACTCATGATTGGTGCATTCACCGACTGTGAAAATAGACCAGTATTTACCGAAGGGGGTGTATTTGGCAAATCTGTGGAGAGAAAAGTCAACAATCAGTTTATAATAACTATGGTACTTCTTGTTTCGACTGAGATGGGCTTTGAATACAAACACACACACATTTTTGTCCCTAGTAAAACAACAAACCGAGCAGCTTTGAATACCTTGCCCAGGTGTGGAGTAAATAAACCTATAGCATAGTGCCATGAACTTAACATATTGTAGTAGGCTTTCTAAAATAAGACAAGTTGTAAGCTTGAGTTTTCACTTCTAGTGCTAAAATATAGTGCAACTTTGAAATATATAAACCAAATATAGTAGAACAAGCAGCCTCTTGGCTGAGATAGCTCCGCACTGCACATTTCAATTAAAGAACAGAAGATATCATTAGAAAATGAACAATATGCATAGTATCAATGCAACGGGACTTGCTATTTTCAACAAGAATTCAAAAATATCTTTTTTCACCATAAATGATTGTGGTTTTTAACAAGTCGAAAATATCACTTTTTACCAAAAATGACAAAAATATTCACCAAAA